GAGGGCTACGGTTACGACAGTGTAGGGGTTAGAGTGCTTAGACCGGAACTAGGGCGGTGGCCACCGGTACCTGGGGTACCCCCAGGTACCGGCGCTCGGGTGTGGCCCCAAGTACGTAGTACTTGGGGTCCGGTGCTGGGTCCCAGCTTAATGGCCTTCGAGCGCCCGCACCGGTACGCTCTCTCACCCCCTGTTGCGCGCTGCCGCGCAACAGTATCTGTTAGTCAGCTGCTGGTGTACAGCAGCCTATGCCATGGCTGTAATTGACATATGTAAACCCTTGACAGCACACCTGTGGTGCTACATATTGCGCTTCACATGCAAAGGCTGGAGAGAAAATGTCAACTGCACTCACCAGACAAGTGAGCTGTGAGATTCAAACAGAAAGAATGCAACTGCCAACCGAGAACCAACTGAAGGCACCTGCAGTCATGCTCAGCATGATAGACAATCAAACATGCAACGCCTTGCTGCACCTGTTGACTCAATGGAAGCAACACACAAATAAGGTGCTGGCAGCTGACCCGAAGGTGCACAGTAGTTCACACGCAGGGAACAGCCAGAAACACCAAGTTCATCCCCTTGGCCTCCTCCTGTTGCTTGCATTCTGCTGCATATCATCCGGCACTGACAACCACATCCTTCCATGATGCAGGAGACCAGTTCCTGTCCACGAAGCATATGGCAAGGTCCACAGTTCGGGGGGCAAGGGTTTACGCCGTCCCATGAATATACACCCAAAATTGCCAGCCAAAACTTGGCCCAGGACGTGTTGTGCTGGATGCCGACGCGATCATAAATTTGTCAAGCACGCACATAGAAATACGTGGAGAAAAAATCAACCAAACGCTCAGCATAGACGTTGGTAATTGCAGAGCAGCATTCTGCTGTGTCATGATGTAACACAAACGTGCTCAGTGCCTGTTCCACCTTGGCACCTTGGCACAGGAGAAGGACTCCCAGTAAATTGAGGCCCGTTGTGCAAAAAATTGGTACCACTACCTTCACACACCTTTTGTGAAATAGCTTACCAATAGACAAACTTGAAGAGCACTCTCAGCCTGAAATACAACATACAGATTGGAAACCATACACAGCAGAAATATGCTAGCAAGATAACACAAACGTGTCCCCCATGCATGCTGCATCTTGACACAGAATTGCTCAGTGCAAATTTGCCACCAGTGGTGATCGCATTGTCTAGAGCTACCAATATTTTGTGCATCATGTAATTAAGGCCGGGGTTCTCTGCCGTTGTTTCATTGCAACCCCACTGGCAAAACGATATATCCGCTCCACAAGGCCCGTGACCACAAAATGCTGCTACCCAGGGGCTTGTGCTCACCCATTTGCGAGCAGCCGCCACAGTCTTTTCATCCCTATGTGCACCCATTATTTGCATCACACAATACCTGTGGATAAGGCATTACATAAAAATAGCACTCTTCAGCACTTGACATAGTGGTAGATTGTGGTGATCGGGCTGCCAAAAGAATTAAAAGAATGGGAGATTCTGAGACGTGCTATTCTGTTGTGACCTAAACTTTAAGCAACGCAATCGGCCGCCCGATTAAATTGCCTTAAATTAGGCAAGGCATAGAAGCGATGCAGAAAATGCCCACCTTTGCACCAACCATTACCACATCATTCTGAGCTGCTCACGGAAACAAGCCGACTGCACATTGCTCAAACAAAACTGCAACCACTCTTATGTATAACACACCAGAGTTCTGTCCAAAAACGCCTTGGGCGCGCGACCTACCCTACAGACGTTCCGAACATCGTCGAATGGCCCTCGATGTGCAGCCCGAATCCGCCATCTTCGTTCTGGTGGTTCATGTGGTACCAGTCAAGAAGTCGGGCCTTCGGCCCCGACGTTCTGCACTTTTTCGTTCCTATGCTATCTATTCAAAGCCGCTGACTCGCTGGCCAGGCTGGGCTGCACTGTTGCGTTGTTCATGTTTTCCATTCCCTGTCGATTTGCTCATCACGTTCTTTGCTATGTCCTTTGCCACTGTCACTGCGCCGAGGGCTGCACAGCACCGCCGCGTGAGTTTACTCCCGCTATGCTGCACGGGGAGTCCTTGTCGGGTGCTGCAACTTCGACCATTGAGTTTTGGGACGCAAACCATCGCCACTGCGGCCATCGGCCCTGGCCGCAAAAAATGATGCGGCATCGCATCGGAAGACGGGCGTCGAGCGTAAGCGGGCACGGAGCACCGCAACCACGACAGCGGTAGCCGCGCCCCTCCCGTCGGCCGCCCTTGAGCGTACCTCGAAAATTCCACGGAGCCGCCCGCCATCCTACCGCTTTCAGTGATTGAATTCTCCACCATCGCCAGCATGCATCGTTGGATTGTTGGCCTTGCCTTTCCCAAGGAATCCCCCCTTGGATGGGGCACTTGCTACTCCCTTCCCAATTGCGACACTCCCTCCCAACTTCGACCGTTGAGTTTTGGGACCCGAGCCATCGCCGCTGCGGCCATCGGCGCTGACGATGGCCGTCAACGCCAGCGCGACGACGGGGAATCGTGTCCCACTATCACAACGAACTCTGCATCTCGAGAGCTGGCGCTGGCTTCGGCGAGGCCTCTACCGGGATCGCCCATCACCATCGCCGTCGCTTGCCATCGCCACAGGCGTGATTCGCAAGCCATCGCCGCAGCCACATGACCCTCAATCGACCCAAAAGTGCTTTCGACACGCACGGCGCGTGATTGACACACACCGCGCTCTGTGATCGTGATGGCGGAGGTCCATGCCCCACCCCGTGCTCGCGCTCAAGCGCGCAACCCGACCCGGGTGGGAGCCGCACACCCGCTCTCCGCTTTCCAAAACTGGACTCCAGGGCCCGGGGACCCGAACGCTTGGCCTTGAGCGGCGCGCTGATTGCATCCGGTGCCGCGGTCGCTGCGCCGATGCCTGCCACAGCAGAGCGCTAGAAGGCCCTGGAGTACCTCCGCGGCCCGACTGGAGCCATCGCGGGAACGGCAACGCTGAGCCGCGCGTTTGGGCGCGGGCCATCGCCGTTGTGACGACCGGCTCCGGTGATGGTCTCCATTGCCGCCACGACGACGCGGAATCGCGACGGGAAACGTGCGCGTCGAGCGCAAGCGCGCACGGCGCGCCGCAGCCACGGCACCGGTAGCCGTGCGCCTGCCGTCGGTCGCCCTCGAGCGGAGCCACCGGCGCCACCGAGGAACGCATATGCCCACAGCATCCGACTCGGAGAGCCCCGCCACTCACGTAACCCCCATGTCACAGGGGTCGATTCTTACACAAGAACGCTGAGTCAGACTTTAAAAAATTCATTTCCGGGGCGCTCTTAGCCGCGTTCCCAGCTTATAATATTAGACCTCAAGGCCTCAGCCTTGGCTTCTGGCCCAAAAATCCGGTCCAGCGCTGCCGCCGTGTACAAAGTCATCACCAGCCCCGGCAGCAAAAACTGGGAACCGCCATAATCCCCCGCCCAGTGACCATCATGCGCTGCAGCGCGCGTAGTATTCCGACCCGCACAGCATCTCGTGCTCGACTTGCGATGCAGCCACCGGCCCCTACACCTTGAGAATGCCGGCATCTTCGGATACCTGCAAGCCCACTGCTTTGATCTTGTCCGCGGCCCGTAGGCGCAGCAGCTCATCTGCAGAGTGTGTTATGAAGGTCTTCCACGCGAGCGCGCCCGCCCACCGATTGAACTCCCAGCACTGCCGGCCCGCGTTGTTGTTCAGCGAACGCAGGTATGGGTGCCACCCGGAGTCGACAGCCACATCTCGTCACACCGCAAGCCCCTTGCACTGCTGCACTTGGTTCCCATGAGTATGTCTGCCAGGATTCGGAATTCGTTACATGTACATCAACATGCAGTCAGACATGGGGTGTGTGTGGGAAGGGTGGGGGTAGGGTAAGGGGGTGCTGAGGAGTTTTCGAGGCAAGGCAGGTGATTGGCAGCTGGACATCGGAGCACGAAAGGTGTGTGTACGCTACATGTTTCTGGCTTGGCTTCGGGGCCTGGGCGCCTGCAACAGGGACACCGCGGGGATGGGGCGAGGCAACAAGGCAGCAGCGAGAAGACGCTTCAGGAACTCGCCTGTCTGTCAGGCCTTGATGTGCTGGTGCTTTCTGTTCATGGACGCAAGCACCTATGTCGGCTGCCCATTTGCTGTTACTCTCAAAGGACGATTGGCGGCATGGCTACTGCGCCATGGCCAATACACTTTCCGGCGGCTACGTCAATGATTTAATGAGGGCCCAGATTTGGCACAGAGGACGGTGTTCTTAGCACTACCGCATGTGTGCACCAACAGAAACTAGCGGATGGCGTGGGACGTCGTTCACAATCTGTCGCCCCTTCCACAACAACTCGGGCAGCGTGTCTCTCGTTCAATGGCAGTTGGATAATCGCCCCATTCAGCGCACCTCAGTCCACCCGGCGGGGCTCTGGGGACGTGCTAGGGCTTGCTGATCCAGAAATTCTAATCGGGTCCAAGAATTGCTTTCTGCAGCGGCTTTCGGCAACCTGCAGCACTGAGCATGTTTGGGACCCAAACGACAGCCTGTGCCCAGCCATGGCCAGGTTCACCTTCGCCCAGCACAGCACAATTTTACTCTTACGCGCTCCTTAAACAGCAGGCGTCACATGCATCAAATTCCCTTGGCGTTCCTGGGCCCCTTCCATCCGGTTCTACAACATCGTAACAGGGCAAAGAATGACTTACCAGAGCCAGAACAAAGAATTCCACATATCCGCCTACCTAACCACGCCGACCCAAAGCATCCATTTGCCAGAGCACGATGAAGATTCCCAAAGCCAACCCAACCCACTCACCTAAACCGCTGACGTGCACGTTACAACCACCACGTGGTGCTTGTCCATCCCAACACAATCAACGTCACAATTGTTGCAACGAACTACGCACACAGTCGGGAATCTCCTGGAAGAAAACCACATCCTCCCGCCCACTGAATCCACAGTGCCCTTCGCTGGAGCTGCCCTGGAAGGCTTAGAGCTTGTCTTCATACTCCGTGATCGGGGCCGGCTCCGGCTTGAGACCCTTCCTCTTTCTCACGTCCAGAAGAATGGTGTTGGCCGCGTTGCCAGGCTGCTGCGGGTCCTGTGGCATAACCTCCCAGTGGTCGAAGACGGCTTGTGGGAAAGCCTGGCCAGACGTCGCTGCGCGCAGCGTCGAAGTGAACCCAAAGGACTCCACAACAGGCAGGTAGGCCTTGATGTTGTAGATGGGCGTGCCAGGTCGCTGCATTTCCTCAAACACGTGCCCACGCTTCTGGTTAAGGACAGAGTAGATGCCTCCCAGAGCCTGATCGGGCGCTTGGATCTCCACAAGGTAGATTGGCTCCATGAGCCTGGGAGCGCCAGAGAGTTGGGCTGCATACAGAGCTCGGCGGCAGGTGGGGATGATTTGCCCACCACCCCTGTGGATGGCATCAGAGTGCAGAACCACGTCATGGATCTCATAAACCACGCCCCGCATATTCTCCTCGCAAAGCACACCCTCCTTTGTCGCCCACTGGAAGGCAGCCACGCAGGAGTCCTTGATCTCGTTCAGGTATTGCACACCCTTGGCGACATCGATGAACATATTGGGGCCCATGGTCTCAGGCCCAAAGGCCCAGATCTTCTTCGACGTCTCCTTGTCCCAGCCGAACTCGTCGCTCAAGATCCTTGTCCTGACCTTAGGGTCGTCACGAGGCCCTATCTTGCCTTCGTCGATCGCTTCTGCCAGACCATCCTCCATGGGCCGGGCCTTTACAGGAAAGCACACACAATTAGGCTGTGTCCTTGTGACCATCAACACTTCGCCACTTGCCTTCTTGACAACATAGAGGTGCACATGAAGGTTCATGCAGTGCACAGCTGTCTCTGTTCATTGAACAGAAGTACTGCGACAGAGAGTACTAGGTCCAGTGGAGCACGGAATATACTTTGTGTGTCCTAGTTTTGAAGAAAGGATCGACTGCCCAGTGCCTGACAATAGACCACGATGCACCAGGCAATAGTAAGTTCCTCACACATCCGACGTTCGCCTCAGAGCTCGCCGCAACCAAATGGTGAGCAGAACTGCAACGTTCCAATGGCATTACATGGTGAGTCTTTTAATGACCTGCATGTGCGTGGCTGGTAGGTAATCACACACAGTCACAAGCTACTTTCCTTCAACTGAACAATATTGCAAGTGTTCTTGTGCCAAGCAGCACTGGTTTACTGATTTATAGCCTCAATTATTCTCCTCAATGCACTGACTTGGCCAAAGCATATTAGGTTTTCTGCACACACTGCAAAGCAGGAACTACAGCTGAGCTAACCCAGAGAGCAAGTGATAGACCTTCACCATATATCCCCCACGCCCAGGAGCGAATCCTCACCGAAAGGTACAGCCGATTGTGCTTGTTCGGCGACTTGGACATCACAGTGTGGTCTGACTCTGCCGACACGGTCTCACGGAACGACACCACTGGATCAGAGACACGGATCTCAGCTCCGCCCATGAAGTCCTCCTGGAGGTCCTTCAGGCAAATCTCCAAATGAAGTTCACCAGCACCCGCAATGATGTGCTCGCCCGTTTCCTCAATGGTACATTGGACCATGGGATCCGACTTCGACAGGCGCTTCAGACCCTCCACCAGCTTGGGGAGATCAGATGCAACCTTGGGCTCGACAGCGACACGCACAACAGGAGACACACTGAACTTCATGGCCTGTGCCAACACAGCAAGACATGTCAGAACAGTCCATGGGAATCCCGATCTTCACAACCTTCTCACATAAATGCAAGACGTGGCATGCAGACTGGGGAAAAAGTTGCTCGCTCTGCTGGCTTGGTTGTTCCACCGCATCACACATGCAAATGCGGGTCGAGATTAAACACACCGATTTGTGCTTTCTAGGTCATAACTTTTGCAGAACCGCACTTTGTAGACAGAGTGCTCTGCATTTCATCAAATGGACGTGGTTTGCTGGTTTCGGATGAACACTGCCTGGGTTAACGAGAAGCTCCATACATGTGACTGCTATATCCTCGTTGCTTCTGGGCATGAGTACACAAAGGGTACATGTTTGCTCCCATGTACATACACACTCGTGCCGCTGCATGCACAATTATCTGCTCTTACACTGCCAGGTCACACACATCAGTCTGGCAGTTGTTGATGCCAACCGTTGAACATGGGCTGCTTCATACCTTGATGGGATGAGCATCGTCGTTCTTCTCATTTGTAAGGGTTGCATTCTTGGTGATGAACTGATCCAGGCCAACCATGGCAACAGTGTTCCCGCAGGGAACGTCCTCAACAGCATCCTGCCTCCTTCCCATGCACAACACTGTCCTCTGGATTGACTTGATATAGAGATCCTTCTTCTGGCCAGGGACATAGTTGGGGCCCATGATCCTGACCTGAAATAAAAAGGCCACCATTCCATCAGTGAAACTCTCACAAACACACTTGTCCCATCAACATCACGAAATGCCCAGCATCTCACTAAACATAATGCTGTCTTCTTCGAGTTGGGCTGCAAAATGATCCCATTTCGCTGCAGTGCATGCTTCAGCCAGGCCTGTGACATCTATTTCTAGAACACCCGGAGCAGGACACATGGATATGCTCTAAAGGTGAGTGCAGTGCAGTGCATCGGCTATCAGAGCAGAGGCGGGAACAAGGGGCACTGTGCCTTAGGAGAGATCAGCGCACAAGCCCTAGAGCCGTCCACACCTTCTGGCCAGTTGCAACCGTGCCAGAGAAGACACGGCCAAAAGCAAAGAATCTGCCCTTGTCAGAGGTTGGGATCATCTTCGACACGTAGAGCATGAGTGGACCCTTGGGGTCACAGTTCCGGATGGCTGTGGCATATGCATCGTCCAGTGGCCCTTCATACAAGTTGTCGACCCTGTACTTCTGTGCCTTGTGAGGCGATGGCAGGTGCCAGATCATCATCTCCAGCAAAGCATCTTGGGCTGGCAGCCAAGTCTGCGATGGACACACCAGTTGGTTTCAGAACACCAACATTTCCAGAGACAATTATAGGGCACATCTGCCCTGTGCCAAGTCACAAGCATGGGCTGTTGTTCAAGCGGCCAAGGCAATAGCCAAAATGCTGATCACGTTGCAGCCTGTTCTACAGGTTCTTTAAAGCGGCTCTACACTTTACCACAATTCCCATTGTAAGTTCTATAGTAGTCCTGTCCAAAGCCAGGCAGTACGTACAGGACAACACATGATATGCAAGCTCGCGCAAGTCTTTGTCAGCAAGTGTCAAATCGATGGCAACTACTTCACAAAGAAGGCACAGAGCATTCTTTGCTATTCATTCCTGTTTCTTCTCAACCTGCCTATGCAGGGCCCCATATGTGCAAGCCAGACAATGGTCGTCTCACCTGCATGACACGCTTCATGAGAGGCTTTCCAGTGAGTTCCTTGTCCTCAGCCTTCAGCTTTGGCGTCACCTTCAGCTTGTCTGTGAGATTAAACACAAGCTTCTTGTCCTCATTCATGCACGCTTTGATAAGCTTCTCAATCGGCTCATACACAAACTGGACAAAGCCACGTTTGCAGGTCTTCTCGCCAGTGGGCTTCTTTGTCCATTTCCTGGTGGTAGGGTCATAGAAGTTGTCGCCCCAGAGCTTCTCCATCATCTTCTTCTCGTCTGTGCCGAACTTTGATGCATACAGCTTTGCGAATGTAGTGAGAGTGAATGCCCAGCCGTGCAGACCAGCTGAGAATGAGACAGTACCCTTGTCGGGGTAAACCTGTTACCATAATACACAGAGGTCAGAAACAACCCAAGGCATGCAAGGTGCCCCCCAAAGTGTTGAATTGGCCTTGAGCCTTATGCCTCAAACCTGATGACTGACAGGGCTGTGCCGGTCCAACAAAAAGAAACGCGAACAGAAAATCACAAGGCAGTTGTGGGATGCAAATGCAGTGAACTTAAACAAGCACCAGGATGCAAGCTGTCTGTGCCATGGAAGCCATGCCTACCATGGTCTCGCCAAGCTGCTCATCAGTGTACGTTGCCATGATCACGTTGGCATTCTCAATCACCCGCAAGAAACCGTTGTAGGCTTCTTCACCGTCCAACATCAGCTCCAAGAAGCACCTATCCAGCTTGTTTACTGTGAGCACAGGTCGGATCCTCTCACCAAGAGCCTGGCCAAGGAATGCGCACAATATTGTCAAATGAGCACAGTGATGAGCACGATGTCCACACAAAACATGATCCACAATGCTGTAATAGAGTCTTGGCCATGCATCCACAGACACCAAGCAGTGCACCAAAGTAGGTCCTCCAGCCATGGCAAATGAGGCATCTCATCACCGTTAAGTCACAGTCAAGTTGTGATTTGTGTGGCACACAGTACAGCAAAGAAGTCTCTGTACAGCAGCAAGGCAGCACTGAAGAGTAGCATGACTGCATGGACCTGACCTTGTGAAGAAACCAACATCAAGCAGGGGCTAGCTAACCTGTTGCCACTACCGATCATACTACGCGCTAGATGTGGAATTTTAATTCGCATCTTGCCAGGAGCAATGCACCCAACAACAGAAAGCCAATTGGCAAGCACCAGTACCTTGCAATCTATTGCTCCTGTGAGGCCATTAATGAAGCACAAGGATCACCAGGGACTGGTGCAGCCTACACTGAAAAACAACTCAAACCATGGCATTCGGAGGATTTGAGAAGTTCATAGCAGCCCACCTGTCTCAACACAGTCTCTGTCTGCACACACACACCCTCCACGCAGTCCACCACCACCAGGGCGCCATCCGTGATCCGCAGGGCAGCAGTCACTTCGGATGAGAAGTCGACGTGGCCAGGGGAGTCGATGAGGTTGATGAGATAGCTATTGCCATCCCTCTCACCAGTAAAGCCCTTCAGGGATTCATCGCTCATATCATAATACAGCGAGATCCCAGTCGACTTGATGGTGATGCACCTGTCCTGCTCGTCTTGGCGAGTGTCGGTGAGGCGCTGGTCGCCAGCCTGCAGAGTGATGTTCGTGATTCCGTGAGATTTTAAATTCCAACACCTTCAGTTTGTTCCCAAACGTAGTCAGCGACAATAGGAGGTTGCGATCTACAACCCTGGGATCCGACCGGCCACGGACCACGAAATTATTCGCAAGCAACAGAACAGAACGCCGTCGGAGCTCGAGGTTAGCGCAACAGACTAAGCCAGGTCGTGGTCATTTTTTCACACAGGAAGTTTTTTTCGAGAAGCTGTTCGTTGGAGAGTAGCATCTCAAATCCAGCAGACCATCCACAAATTCTATCTGCAAAGTCTGCGACATCCCGACAACCCCCTTAACTCAGAAACTCAGAACCCCCCCCCCATCGCCCCACAACCCATCCCCAGCGCAGCACCCAGAGGCACCCAGGACAGCGCTGCCACAATCCATATTCGCATATTCCGGGTCGCGGTTCCCAGCTCGCCTGGCTGGGCATTGGCGGCGCCGCCAAAGGCATCTGACTCCAGGACAACGGCTGCCCATCCGGGCTTGAGAGGATGAGCTCACCGGCGACATCGCACACAGGATCTGGCAGGCACCGGCGGCGACACGGTGGCGTCCTATCGTTCCGCATGCCCGTCTGGCAATTCCCAACGGGTGCCTACGCGTCGCGAGCAAAATACCGCCGACTGTCTTCTGCCCACACTCAAGCTTTGGCGCTGAGTGGCATCCCTCTTGTGTCCACCGGAACCAGCCCGCACCGCCTGGCGGCGCAGCCGTGACGCGCATGCAAAGTTGAATAGTTCACGAGTCCGTGGGGATCGCACACAGGCACAGGACCGAAGAGACCGGACTAGCAGACGCTGAATGCAACGCTCTGAGACCCACCTGTTCCACAGCGATGATTCCGGCCGCAGCGACCAGCGAGTCCGTCAGGGTGGACTTTCCTGCGGGGGGCCACGGCAAACAGTCCAAATTCAATCGTCAAAATTCCGCCCCCCACCCACAAACACTCTGAAACTGAAGACCACAACCCCAAAGGCAGTAGAGTCTCCTTTCTGGTGTCTCACAGCGACGGATGCAAAGCCAGCCAGGTAGCAACAACCGCCAGGAGGGCAACCCACCGTGGTCGACATGGGCGATGACACTCATGTTCCTGATGTTGTGTTTCTTGTCCATCAGCGCGCGCAGCTGGTCTATCGTGAACTTCACCATGGTGCCTGTTCTCCCGGCGGCAGAGCCGGGCAACCGAGGCGGGTAAGTGCGAGGTGGGCGGTGCTTGCTGCTGTGCTCGTGCGTATTTCAAAGCGGGTGGCACAAGGAGCACGCTGGCGGCGCCGGGCCACGGGTCCCGGGGACCGCTGACAGGCTGTAGGGGTGGTTCGCAGGTTAGTACAGGTTTGGTGACATGGCGTTGAGTAGCTGGCTTCCCACCAGCGTGCAGCACTGCGGGTTCAAACGCTCCAATGAAGTGGTGCATCTTGGGTGATTTAAGCAAGATTTACGAAATGTAATGCAGTGAATAGGTTTAAATCGGGATCAGGGCCGTCGGGTGGGAACCTTTGAACGGCTGGCAAAGGTTTTAGTACTTGGCACACTTGGAGTTAGAATGGATGGCTCTGCCGTTTCTCAAACTTGGAAAGCATAGGCTCAGTGAGAAAGTGTTTGGCGCAACTCTTGAAGTTGTGGTCAAGTTATGGGCAGCGACTGGGCGAACCAGTCGCGGTTGGTTATAAAGCCCAGGAACCGAACTGAGCGGCTGTTTGCACCAGTGGAAAAACTGGTTCACAGGGATCTGGGCAAACGGGGAACTTGGGACTTAAGGTTGGCGAAACGAGTTTGTGGCTATCTCGTTTTTCGCTCCCGCCCACCCCTTCCCAAGATATTTGGCTTGATTTTTAATGTAAGGAGAGACATTTGGCAAACCGGTGTGAGGGCTTTCAAGAGTGCCCGGAAAGAAGAGTGTGACTGAATGAGACTTGGTCCAGCGCCCTGAGTGCGCCATCCCGTCCCGATTGATAAACCGAAAAGGTGAAGCTTCGCTAACAACGGGTGGGCAAGGCCCCCCGAGATTTAAAGACTACCCCGTTGGGTGGGGTGTTCCAGCTCCTACCCTCCTACCCTCCTACCCTCCTACCCTCTGATGCCTTGAACCGTTTCCACTTCCGGATTGCGTGACATCTTGTACGAGGCACTGGCACACGCCACGTGCTGGCAGCAACGATGCGCAGCGTGTGCCTCCCCACGAAGACCAGATGCGGAAGGGTCCCGTCCTAACCCAGGCACGACTTTTCCGGGTCTGAACAAGACAAGTTTGTACAGGCACGACATTTTAACGACCGCCATGCTGCGTCTGTCTTGCAGGTGAGCCGTGTGCAAGTGTGGACTGTGCAGCTGCGAGAAGAGAGGCTTGTGAAAGTTGTGACATGGACATGCACAACAGCCTGCCAGCTGGGGCAGCAGGTGATATTGTCAACAGAGACTGCTTCAGGCAGCGTCTGGACAGTTGAGGAGAAGATGGTCAGGACGCAGTGGACACCACGCTAAGTGTGCAGGCATCCAAAGCAATCTGAGCAAGGATGGACACCCACACTGTGCTACAATACGACATAGGCTGCTCAAAATGCTACCATTGGTCAAGTAAACTTTGTTTGAAACAGAGCTGCGCTTGAACACAACAAACCAAACCGAGTCATGCTGAGCCATTGCCGAATTCAGCCTTGGACCAGCTGCCAAATGCACAAAATGCGAAACACACAGTCTTTCTGCTGGGCAGAACGTATCCACAATAGAGAGCTTCAGCATGTTCCATTTCAACTGGGCCACCTCCAGCCTTCCCTGCTGCCCAAGCATGCCACCTCTCTCCCAGTAGCATGGCTGCAAGCACTTTTACCCCTTAGTGACCACATGAAAATGGTTGTGCCTGCAACTGTTGCTGCCTGACGATCTTCCTGCGAAGGTCCCAGCAATCACTGGAGGTGATAGAGTAATTGCTCATCGAAGTTGGCCACAATCGGCAACAACGATCTTCTTCTTGGTTGCCCCGCTGGAGCTACCGTAGCTCTCAACCTTCTTCACAACATCATATCCATTGACAACCTTGCCGAAGACGACATGCTTGCCATCCAGCCATGGCGTTTTCACGGTGGTCAGAAAGAACTGCACATCAGCACACGGCCAGCAAGGATGTCAGGAAAAGATGGGCACATAGCTGCCCCAGCATTTCTTGCAAACAGAAGTCCTGGTCTCCACCTCACAAGGCACAGCAACACAGTGGCTTGACATCAGATCAACTTTCCCGTTGAACAAATATCCCAGCATCAGCATGCTTTGCATCCCAACACCAGCTCAAGAGTGCCTGTAGATGCGATCTGCAGCTATTGGTAAAACTGCCACAATGCCTAGCTGGGACGAACCGGAAAGTCTTCATGGGACACAAGCACATACCTGGGACCCGTTGGTGTTGGGACCTGCGTTAGCCATTGACAGCATTCCTGCAACCAACCAACACACAAGTCCAATATCAACGAAATGCTCTGGCCAAATGCGCTGAGAATGCGCAAGCCCAACACAGCATTCTTGCCAAAGAGTCCTCGTGAGGATTCACCAAAGAGGTCTCGTGAGGATTCATTTGATGGGATAATAACTTGATGGCAACTCAAGTGGACCGACACCGCCATATCCACGTTTTCAGCGGACAGGAATGTGGCGGCAGTGGGAACAGCAGGAGGACATCAGCCTGTCAACCAGGTTTCCAGCAATCCGAGGTCACAAGCCCAGACACTGGCGAGGCATCCAAACGCCGGCAGCCGCTAACCTGGGGTGCTGTGGGTCAGGCGGAAGTTCTCGTCCGCGAACTTTTCGCCGTAGATCGACTCGCCACCACGGCCGTCTCCAGACGTGAAGTCGCCACCCTGATCCACCGCACAAACACAACAGTGAGCGCAGGCACCGGCCAGAAGCATAGTACCAGCGCCGCTGGCAGGGAATGATCCAGAAAATAGCGGCCGACGGCACTTCCGGAACGTGCCACGATGTGCGCCGCCAATTCCACGAACAGATCTGGATGGGGACCATGGCTCACCTGGCACATGAAGTCCTGGATGACCCGGTGGAAGGTGCTGCCCTTGTAGTGCAGGGGCTTGCCCAGCCTTCCAACGCCCTTCTCGCCTGTTGCAGCAGCGAATGAGCGGCGGACGTTAGTGCGGGATCGCCCTCAAAGGGCCGCCTCGATGACTGTCCGCCGTCGGGGCGATTCAGCCACGATATTGCAAAGAAACAAGCCGAGGAATACAACCTCACCTGTGCACAGGGCGCGGAAGTTCTCGGCCGTTTTGGGGACCTGATCGGCAAAGAGCTGCATGGAAACGACCGACGAGAGTGCATCAGTGAACTGGGGGAAAACCACGGCGGAAACCTCACAGGCGCCTTGCTACCGAATTCACAGGTTCCTTGCCAGCCCCAGCATTTTCAACGCCAGCGCGCACTGTAGATAGCATGGATCTTCTGTTTCTGCAAGCCTCGCACCCTGCACTAAGAATTCGGCAACAGATACAGCGACGTTGCGTAGCCGCGGCCAACAGGGATCTGGCACGGTGGAGAGCGCGGCGACGCATGAATTGAGAACTCACCTCCATCTCTATGCGCCCAAGCGGGGAACCACCGGCCTCAATGTCAAAGAAGACGACTGGGTTCGCCATGGTGGCTGCGGTGCCTTCGTCTCGCAAGCGGGGGCAGAAGACGGGTTTGCGAGCGCTGGTGTCGGTGCGAGGTTGCCCAGCCTGTTGTAGAATATTCAAGATTCAGGAATAGTGTGTTTTTTCTGTCGATGGGCAGTTACGTCACGTGACATGATATTGGTGCTTGGGAACAAAAAAAATCGCTGTGTGGAGAGTCCTTCGAAGTTAAAATGAAATTTAAATTCATTGGTTCTGAGAGGGGCTTTTTTATGTGAACTCCACAAAGCGAGTGGTTACACAAATACCCACGCACAAAGTCTGACTACGCGGCCCCAAGCCTGCGAGTACTGCACATATCCTGCTTGAGCTGCTTCCCTGCGCCACGCCTCCCTGGTTTCATGCTGATCTCCAAACAGTCACGCAAACTGTGCCACAGTTACTGTGGGTGATGCCAATTGGCTTGACGGCAGATCCGTTGCCCCATGAAAATGCTAAGGGCGTGTGCCTGCAGTTGCAACCTTGTCATCAGGTCTTTGTGCTATGCTGTGCACATATGTTACCAAGCTGTGTGTGGGATGTGGAAGCGAACAAAGACTAGAGCCCCAACCAACCACAATAATATTTAGACAGACCAGTTCATTAACACAAGAGCAGCTTTAAGGGACCGGTCGTTTTGTGCATCAATATGGTGCATACTGCAGGATTGGTGCACCCTTGGGCAGCGCCTCTTGACAACTTTCAATGTCGTAGAAACCCCTTCTAAACTCCTTCAGATAGAGGGCAGCGGAAAACAATCAACATTTTCATAAGCACCCAATATGAGAAACATTGACAGTCTTGTGGGCGTTCATCCACAGTGCGATTCTCTTCCCCTCTCCAGCCATCAGTATAGTTTCGATGTCCGCTTTTTACACTCTTTTTGCTAAGAGACCATGAAACATCATCTGCCTTTGCATTTTCGATTCCCCCGCTATTTCCTGTCCACTGTTGATTGCAATGTGTTTCCTCCAAAAACCCCGCATGGCGGAAGGAGTGCTGTCCCATCTTGTGGACTATATGTGCAATCCACTTCTGCATTTCTTGATGTCTCGTGCACCAGTGCTCCAACAAAACGATCAACATGTTTCTCAGTCTAAAACTCCCTTTGTGCGTGTCCATAGACACCATAAAGCCAGCCGGAAAGGGAGCTGCTCACCATTTTCCCTGTCCCCTCCACACGCCAAACGACATCAATGGAGATTGCAACATCGGGCCAAGGACATGCAACCTACAGCAGTGCAGCTATGTCTGGGTTCATGATGACAATGCATGCCACATCAGCTTGCATAGGTACGAAAACCAAGCCTGCTGCAATCCACAAGAAGCCAAAGACCAATAGGAACTCAAATCAGGGCCTGGCTGTTGCTGCCCATGTACTGAGGGCTGCCTCTCAATAAGTGACCGTGAGGATAAAGCCCGCCAGAAGCACCCATGAGGCTCCCTCCAATACCAACCCAACCACCGCAGCCTCACAAGTTCAGAGTATGCAGTTCACACTAATCTTCACCAGTAGTGTGAATGGGGAAGCACCATAGACCTGGCTTAGCCCTGTGGTGACAAACTACCGAAGCATTGAACTGGCAGTGTTCTGACACAGCAATGGACAATGATGGCCAGTGAAAGGAGTCCATCAACAGCGCCTAGTGCCAACAGGAGAAGTGGCCCACTTTCAAACATGGCTGGTGACACACTGCCAGATAGCTCAAGTTGTTCACATCCTCAACACCCTTGCTCAGATTTGTTATCAATTTTTCTTGGATGTGGACTCCTCACTTTCAGAGATTTTCTTCATCTCCTTTTTTGCAGCTCTGAGCATGAGACACAGTATCTTCAATGCCGATGCATGCACAACAACCAAAGGATACGTGGACGTTCAATCAAACATGCCACATGTAGCCTTGCATACCTTCAGTTTGCACTTTGTTTTGATGCTCAAGAGAAGCCCTGAGTTTCTTCACTGGAACAATTGGCAGCCATGTGCTGATTGACGAATTCTTGACAGTGGCAGACACCAAGATGATGTTTCGAACACTGCTAAGTCCTGTTCATTACTCAAATTTAGCATCTTTTTTGCAAATTTTAAGCATATCTAGAGAGCATGAGAATCAATATGTGGCCATTTCTACCCGCTCTGTTGGCATTCCATTGCAGCTTGTGAGAAATGCTGTATTGGAAATGGTTCTGTGATTCAATCAAATATTACTTCTTACGGCACTCCCACATGCACAGCCAACATGTGATCTGGCACATTTCCTGCAGACTGTAAGGTTTGGGAACTGCTTCATTTGATCAGAGGAATCGTTCGCAACTTGGAAATTTGAGAGGATTTCAGTTGCAATTTTCACAAATGCCTTGCATTTCAGTCATCGCTATAGCCATAACAACCAAGTTCCCTGCAGCTTGTGGGCGACGGCAGCTCATCTTGTCCCTTTCCCAAGACAGTTGCCATCTGCACACGGCAACAATGCCTTGCGACAGGCGCTACTGGCAACGGATGTGAGTTCTGCAACGTTCACACCAGCTCATATGGGTCTCTGAGCACATTGCTTTTGCTATTCTTGCCATTCCCTGGTGCATGCTATTCCATCTGGGCACTTGCAAAGTTCGGCACCAGCTGCTGTGACGTGGAAAAGACGCTTGCACAGAAAAAGCCTGCTCAGGAGGTGGGTGCTCACTTTTGTGTGGCATGCCGCTTTCCCAACAATAAGAAAAATCTTCACAACAGCTGTGATTTGCTTGAAATGTGGAATAGGAACACAGCAAGGAGCTCAAACATCAGATATTGCAGCGAGCTCTTCAACGCAGATTGCCACGGCAGGCGTCCCGTGCAGGCAGTGGATACAACATTCAACGTTCCTGCCATGCCCAATGCTTTCGCAGATTCAAGCAGGAGCATTGACGCAGTGGCATCAGCCGAGCACACGGGCAGGCGGTCACCGACAATCAACGGTGCCCTACTCTTTTGTCTCCTCCAATCCCTCCTCCCACCACTTTTGTATGTGCTTGATGTTTCTCCGCATCGTCGTCAGCCCCGGCCTAACATCAGCGCGCATCAAGTAGTACAATCCTCCCAGCCCAGCTGCGCACGACACAACCACCCGTCAAACACCGCTCCCTCCACCGCAGTGCCACAGCTGGCGTCCGACGACGCTCGACGGTCCTCACCCAACGTCAGCATGAAGTTTGTCCAAGCCATGGCAACAGCAGCCAAAGACAGGAGGGCACCGCGTACTTAACTGCGTGGTGGGCTCATGACATTGAGGCACCTCTACTCCGAGATGTGCTGTACACAGTGGGGTGGCCTCCTTTAAGGCCGCCCTGAATAAGGCTAAACGGTCAACAACGCCGGTCAAAATCGGCCATATCTAGTGCCACGACCTAAAGTACTAGAAAGGCGTGGCCACAGGCAGTCTGAGCGTGGGGGGGCCGCCGCCATGCCTTGCCTTGAAGACAAGAAGTGCAGACTGCCCCACGAACCCCCCAACCGCCTAATTACATTATACACAAGTGCCCTGGGTGTGATGGGTACCTCCACGGGATTTGTGGAGAAGTCGATCCCGATGGCGATTCAGAAATGGATCGTGTGTGTAGCCTTTGCTATGACCAGGTTATTGCGCCACCTCGATCCACTGTCGTCAAGGGGCAGTGTATGGGCGAGTTGCTGCCAAGGTTCGATGCTATGGACGTTGACCAGGGCCAAATCTTGTTTGAGAGTGGTTTGGTGATTGCCAAACAATTGGGCAAAGACAATGCCGATGGCTCTGGCATGAACAAAGACAAGTTGAAGCGACTACCGATGGAATGAGCGGCCCCTCAAGGGGGCGGTAAACGCATGAGGTTGACGATGGAATAGAAGGTTGGCATTTTGGATTCTTTGAAGGCGAAAGTTGGCCACGCTGCCTTGGCCAACAAGTTCAATTGTGGGGAAGGAACCATTCGACGGGTGGCGGCAGAGAGATCCAAGATCGAGGAATGGCAAGTGCCAAAGGACAGGACCGCAGCAACGGCAAGGACTATGGTGCCAGCCCTTTAGCGCTGTGTTAGCGCCAGATGCAGGGGCGTTTGCAACCCCATAGCACTGGTCACCCAGTTCAAAGCCACCCTCCTTCGACTGGACGACTGCCTGCTGACAATCAGTGCTACCAAGTAAAGTATTACGCCTTTTATTGGGCAAAGCATAAAGTACTAACAGTATTTTGATATCAGAATATTCTTAAAAATAATCAATATATACGATATATAATGTTAAGTGTACCGTAAATGGCTTCTACAGGCTTAAATGGGCTGCGGACCTCAATAAGGCCAACGGTCAATATGGCTGGTGAATGAATATGGTGAAATGGTGAAATGGTGAAATGGTGAAATGGCTGGTGACTAAGGCTGGTGCAATGTGGTTGTCACGGGACGGCCTTAAAGAGGCCACCCCACTGTATGGGCACCCAGAACTTAGGATGGCTGGGCCCAAAAGAACACGATGTGGGGGGAATTGCGCTGGTGCTTGGTGGGCAGGTTTGCAGGATGCGGCGCGGGGCGGCGTGGGGTGACCAATGAGCACCGCCTTTCGGCCCCCTTGGCCCACGGCTGTGGGCCCTTCGCGAATGCTGCGAGTCAGCCTGTGGCGGGCAACGAGGGGCGACTTACTGTGCGCGCTGGCGCTGTCCGAGCTTCGTTTGGCCACAGTGTCCAAGCCGCTGTCCCTCGCGAGTTTTAATGCCGGGCGGGGTCCGAGGGACCGATGCGATGCCCTGCCTCCCCAGCGCAGGTTGTTCAGAGCCGGAGCGTTCGTTGATAACGCAGAGGTGAGGGATGAACGCAAACTGTCCCTCATGCCAGACAATGTGGTGAAGCGCGCAAATGGCCTTTGGAGATAGCCATGGACAGCGTCGGGAGGCCGTGTTGAGGTAGAGGGTGACGTGTTTGCCTGCGCCTGTTCGACCAGGCCGTGGAGAGGCGGCGTGGGGATGCCGATTCGCTCATGATTGGCGAACGATCCCCGCCGCGCAGGGTGATCAACCTCCCGGATCCCGAGCTGCACGACGCTCAGGTGAAGCCGAAGACAATGAAGAAACGGCGGAGGCGCGGCAAGCCCAGCAAGAAGGCTGTGAAGGACAGGCGCGGACTGCCCGTCCCTAGAACAGCGCCAAGACCAGCAAGGGAAATGCAACATGCAACTCCTGAGGCGGAATTCATGATGAAGGTGAGCTCAAAGTCTGGGAACGCACGTCCCATTCCTGACTAGTTTGTCTCTCGCTTGGGAGAATGGCAGTAGAATGCTCAGTCTGTGAATTGGGATTCTGTGGCAGTAGAGCCGTGTGCACATGGCAAGTCGAACAGTCATGGATGTGTGTCCCAGCAATAGCATCCCAGGCTGTTGTGCCCAGGACAGTGCAGAAGTGACGTCATCAGGTGCAGGCACTGGGTTTGCGCCTGATATGCAAGCAACACTCCAGTTTCCCAGGTGCTTGGGAGGTGCTGGTGCTACCTTGTCAAATGGTGGTGGATGGAGGGATGTGTGCTGTCATTGGTTACAGCTGCTTGGTTACAGGTACAGCTGGCTATCACATGGGACAATGCCTGAACATAGCTCGACCGTGGATGCACAGGCTTGGACCAGAGTACATACTCCCAGTTGGCTGGTCAGGCTCGGCAGGGTGGCCTGTGTTTGCAGCATGAATGATACCATCGCTGCTGTGTTGGTCACATCGCTCTGTCCTGTGACCCATACACTGTTTCTGCTCAAAAATTTGGCTCGCTTTTGGCAAACTGGAAGTTACTGATCGTCTTTACCTTGCCATTGCCAGGTCCGTGAACTGAAGGTTTTCAAGTCCAAGTATATGGACTTGAACGTGCCAAAGACCTTGTGGGACAATCAAGAGCTTGGCCTGTGGGTGGCAGATCAGAAGAAACGACAGACACTGCGATGGATGGCAATTGAGGAGAAAAATGTCTTGGACAGCGTTGGATTTGTCTGGAAGAAGAACGTGGTGAGGTTGCCTTTCCATGGTTGCCTGTTGTTGAACTGAGGAGTTTGATGTGCAGGGCAGTCATTTTGTGCCTGTCAGGAGTCCCATGGATCACCACAGCTGAGACACAATTTGATAATATGGGCGATCACCAGTGGCTTCTGT